CACCATTTAAAAAAGAAAGTGGGGTTCAGTCTGGTTCACCTTCACAATCACCAAGCGGTCTAAGACCCACAAGGATGGCTTTATCCCCAGCCAATGGCAGATCACCACAAACACCACCAAAGTTGCAATAGCGTTCGGCTTCATCTGAGCCGACGATACCCCCAGCACAGTGAAAACGTGCTGGAGGAAAAGGTGCAGAGGCAGCCGCAGGACAAACTCTAGATGCCTCAAATAGAGCGGATCTCGCTCTGGTCCATGATCGTATATGGCCTCCGAACTTGTCAGGGCTAGCAGCTCATAATCCTGAGGGATATCAAATCTCTTATGGAGCATTCTCATCTGCGCTTGGGTCACCTTGGAGTGGACCTCCTCCAGAAGAACTCGTTGGTCTACAGAATCTGATGCCATTGCAAAATAAATAAATGGTCGTCGAAAGAAGATGGACGGAAAAGATTTTGAGTTCTCTAAAGGGAATTTCAAAAGACAGTAATCGCCACCTTCATGGCCCTATTTCTATATATATAGGCAGCTGGATTTACAAATGCTAAAATTTGAACGGTCGGATCAAACTTTGTCTAACGGCCAGGATTAATTCTCAGAATTCGAAGCGACATCTCTGAGATCAAGGCGCAGCCCACTCACCTCGAATAGCCCGCAATCTGCCAAGAAAAGCGGAGTTGTTGTAGTTAAAAAGAATGTGTAGTGACGTCAGCCACGTCTACTCTTAAGAGACTTTTAAGTTCTCATTCAATGTACATCCACATCCGTCCAAAGCAACTCTCATTTCACTCGAACCCGGCTCAAGCGGACTCCAAGCGAAAGGGGCCAACTGTTATGGTGATCCCGTTCTCCAAAGTGCAACTCATTGCCAAGCAACGGACATGTGTACTTCTGCATACAATGTCCCAATCAAATTGGCTGTAACACCCCTGATTTTCCTAACATCTCTGGGGTTCACCCTGGACTACAGCCAGTATGAAAATCAGGGGAGTTACATTGGCAGCCCAAGACCAACAAGGGTTTCAACTTAGCCGACTCGTCGAGTTGACATTCCTTCATGTCGACTCGAAAGGCGGTACTTGTCGATCCTCTCGTCGAAGACAACTCGCAATGAGCCTACTCGACTAGCTATTTGACACCTCACGAGGACGACTCGAAAGGCATTACTTCTCGGTGAAGCTAAAATACGACTTCAACCTCGAGTCTCTCCCACTGATAACGTGTCAGCACCACATTTAATGCATGATAGGTGCATCATGCCTCTAGCTTCGATAGCCTTCATGACTCATCGGACCACGTAGGCACCGCAATGCTCCCGATCACTTCTCGTTTAATGCTGAAATGATCTCTCCCCTAGTCACCAGCCGACACCTGTAAAGTAAGTGTTGACGTAGCTGCCAACTCACGCTTCTTCACCGTCATCCTATGCTCGACCACAATGACGGTTCCACCCTTATGCCATCAGTATAAATAAGATGTATCGTTCTAACATAAGGGGACTTTTTGACCTTTGGACTTTTGCTTCTTCTGTAAATTATACTACATACACAAGAACTCAAACATATCGTCACTTTCCCCACTCAATCTCACTAGCTGACTTGATCGTCGGAGGAACCACGGGGGAATCAGTCTCCTTCCTCTCACAAGTTTCTATATGTGCTGTCATTTCAGCCACTCAACTCAGAGCCGGATATTTGGGGAAGAAAGAGGCCCCTCATCAACTTCACCCTCATCCGACCGCTGATTCAATTGACTGTGTGATCACTTAACATCATCAATACTACCGGGATATGTTCGCAATTAACCCTTTAATATACTAAATTCAAAGCGTGAAGGTATAAAATGATAAATACCATCCTCTCTTCCTAAAAAATTAAGGTGTTTTGCCTCTAAATCTACCCTACTTGCATATTTACCCTCCAAATACGCATATTTGCTAATATATCCTTGAATAAATTTTAAGAGCGTTAAATAAGAGGAGTGTAAATGTTCAATGTGAGAGAATGTAGGATACATTATCAAATACGATGATGAAGAGTAAATACGAAAACAACATAAGCGAGAAGAAAAAGGAAAAACCCTGTTTTCTTTTTTCATCCATTCTTTAAAACCCCTATTTTCTTTCACCCCCTACTTCTTCACCAGTACCTCTCTATAGCTCGTTTATTGGCTGAGCTTACGATAGAAGCGTAGGCCAACAAGTTACGAAAGCAGCATGGAACTCCTCTCTTTGGTGCGCGCTTGGACCAATCAAAGCTTGGCATATAAACTTGCCCCCACTATCAGGGGAACGGGCCTCACGTGACTTGCGCGTGCGACGCACCTTGCTTTAGCCGAGAGCAGTAGACGACGATCTTACCTAACAAGGAAATCTAGGGGGACTTACGGGGGTCGTTGTATTCAGGAAAGCTCCTTAATTGTTAGCTGGCCTTGAAAACGACTCGAAAGGAATCGTAAAGGGCCCTGATTATTGGAGGTACGAGAGCACGATCATGTGAACGCCCGATGTGGCTGATTCCTAGTCGCTACGAGTTTTTTTGTTGGGCACACATCGTGAGGTTGGTGCGGTCAATGTCACCGTTGAAGGCCGTGAAAGGTCCAGGTCATTGCTCGAAAACTTCTTTGCCCTTCAGAGGGACAGAGAAGCCTACATCGCACTTAAGTATCCATGCTGTTGTTTTCCCAGGAAAAAAAAAAATACTTGTATACTATTAAGTTACAAAATAGAGTAAATATATATGTACTCTCTCTAAGTCGTAAGAAATTAAAGAGCAAATTAATATGTGTTCTAAGCTGTGAAAACGCTACCACCTTCCGTTAACCGGCCATGAGAATATTATTACCCAGCATATTCTCACATGCTTGTCACGTGGCTCTTTTGAATGTCATTTACCTTTATCAATTGCATTAATTACAAGTTTACCTAACCATTTTTAACTCCGTGGGTTATTTTAAGATTGTATAAATGCCTTATGGAAACAATATGGTATTTAAGTGCAATTTAGCCTACAAAGAAAGAATAAATATTAGCCAATCAGGTGTAGGACGTGCATAACTACCAATACTGTCACCTTGCATTGTGTAGAGAAAATGGTCAATGTGTCGATCCCTCTCACCTTGCATTGTGTAGAGAAAATGGTCAATGTGTCGATCCCTCTGCTTAATTCATCAGCGTGTTGTTGACCGAACACATATTAAATATGTTAAAACTTGTATTACATCAGCAACCCAATAGAAAACTTTATGGTATTCATTGGCCACCGTTTACCCGATTTATGTAATAACTTAGCTTTATAATGTTAGCAGTGGAAGTTCATCATAATCCATTTATGCTACAAGAGGATCAAT